ATAATAATATGTCGCAAACTATATATTTTTTTAGAAGTGACGTCGAAAATGTTCTAATTTGAATATCTGGTGAACTTGGATATTTTATCACTAAAGCCACTAAAGGAATTAGGCTGGATGTAGGATCATTAGGAGATGGAAGAAAAACCGGTGTGGTACGGAATTTGGCTTGTGACTCAGGATACATCAATTAGCAACCCTTAATTGTTTCACATCAGAAGTGTGTCGGAAATTCTATTTCAATTCCAAATATGGGTTATATTTGGAATTGAAATAGAAGTTCTTTGGAAAAAGAACGTATTGAGTCAGATTCTACAATAATGATTAGGCATTCAATCGACAACATTTCCTCAATGTATCAGTGTCTTTTGAAGTCGAAGAATGAACCAATCAAAGCTAGATTGTCAAAGCAGATTAGCCTTTAATGTCGTAAGCCGTCACTGTTGAGTCATCTGTCAAATGTGACGTACGTTAAGGGTACACACATATTGCATAGTTTAGGTGATTCATCTATAACTTTGATTACTTATTGTAAGTTCGCTGTACGCTGGCATTTGAAGTCTTGAATGCGATTGGATAAATTTTGATTTGAGAGAAAAAGGAAAATGAGAGACAGTACAACACTAGCTTTGCACTTGAAGGACTTAATTTTAATATTATGTATTTATAAAATACGCTATCAGCATTGGTCTGGAAGTTAAGTTTGTTATGTTACTATTTGATTTTAGTTACAACTTATGACATTATATAATAACGTTTTATGGGGTCCATGTAAATGCCACTATCCTGTAGCAGCTAAACAGCATATAATGCTGTTTAGCTGCTACAGGTTTACACAAAATGTAACTGAGGAATTGACGTGTGTTTTATATACTTTAAAAACTAACACTAAACCTTAATTAAAATTAAGGTTAATTAAAAACTAAGATTTCAATTTAATATACTAAATAGGTATTCTATTTTAAATTTTGGTAAAGATTAATATTATAAAACATTGATTTCCTGTTTTTAAATTTAGTAATAGCGTTTCCAAGCCTTTGAACAATTATCAACAGATTTTATAATGTTCCGAAAAGGATGTAAATTTATGTCAAGGGTGTTGTAAAATCAATAAATTGCCTTTTGAATGGAAATGCTCGCCAAATACACATTTTTAAACGTTTTTAGTGATACGAAGTCAATGACAGTTAGGTAATAAAGACTGTATATTAACGATGATTCAACTTAGATTAAAACCTGCATAAGTGTTTAACACGAGTAACAGGCGTTGCTGTACTTTTAACAGAAGAATTGATGTTATTAACTATACATATATAAAATCATAATTACGTCTATATCTGAAATAAGCACGTAAATGAAAAAGTAGAGAATCATCCAAAGAGATCATTATACATCTCTTATGAACTATTTGAACTGCGTACTGCAATTTAATTTGTTTTTAATTCTGTTTTTTTCCATTCACTAATTACAATACTACAGGTTACTCTTCATAAATAAACGAGAGTGTTTGTGCTACTTCCATGCCACAAATATGATCTCGTACGGAATCGAACCCACTGAGTAAGCGGCTGAGCGTAGTAACATCAACCGAGCCATCAATTATGCACAATTAAATTATTTGTCCAAAGATTAGACGCTTGAGACAAACAGTCGCTCGTCTTGCGACACCCGTTTGATGAAACAGTCTTGGCATTTGTTGTTGATGCGAGTCAAGTGCAAATGTCAGGCTTTCGCGTGGCGATCTATGTGTGTGGGGGCGCGATACCTTATAGGACTAGCCTACTACTCTCGGCTTTGTTCGCATCATATTTCAATTATGCTAATACTATCTATATGAAATTGTATTGAATACTATAACCGACTTTATGATGATGAGTCTATGACTTTTAAGGATAGAAATAATAATAATAACCAAATTGATTCTTTAAATTGATTTTACGATATAATCGTAATTAATAACAGTTTCACGGTTAATAGCGAATTACTAATATCCCTCGAATTTGATTCTTAAAAAATAAAAAAAAAGTAAAAATCACATATACAAGGTTTAAATAAATGTTCCATATTGCTCTTCTCTGACATTAAATAGCGGCGGCTTGGCGTTTATCAAATTATCAGCTTTTGTGGTGTGATCTGCAAGTTTGCAGTTTGACATATACGATGACCAGTGTTTCAGAAACCAGAATGATCTTCTTAATGATCAGAATGATCAATTCAAAGAGTTTAACCATCCTTTTGGCAGCTCAAATGACATTTGAAAAAGCCATTTGACAGCTGATTAGTTGACATCTACGATGATCAGTGTTTCAGAAACCGGGCGTAAGGATTATTCACTGTAGTGGCAAATTATTACGAATCTTTCCTCGGTAGGAAGTTCCGTTTCGTGCAAAAAGACGGAGTTTATATCTTCATTATATTGGTATATACGGATAAAGAATGTAGTAATAAAGGTGCTGTGCTTCGTTCTAGACTGATGTTTTAAAGGTCAGCTGATACTGCGAGTGATGAGACGAGTTAAAGTTTTAATTGCGTAGTTAGCGGCTGTGGTTGCATAAAAATGTTGCCGTTTCATCTCAATTGCGTCAGCAGAGTTACGCTAAAGCGCAATCTTTGAGCGACACGCTACAGAGCGGTACGTCACTTCGATTCCCGCGTTCTACAAGTATTGGCCCACGGGCAGCATTTACGAGCTCGAGTCATATTTTTAACAACGCCGAAGATGGTTCATAATAACCTTCCCTACATATGTACGTAAATGTCGAAGTTAAGTATCTAATACCAATAGAGGATTAACTTTGTTTTATAGGAGAAGGTGGCAAGCGATCGGGCGGTTAACCTGATGTTAAGTGATAACCGCCGCCCCTTGGCATTTGAAACACCCGTAGGGTTGCAAATGCGTTGCTACTTTATAATTAATAAATGGTCTAAATATGTGTGTTGTCGCACTGCTTTGTGAAACTCCAAGGTATATATAGAATTGTGCACCCAAAATACTTAATCAACTAGATTGAAAGAAGAAACCACTCTTAAAATAGACAAATAATTTCGTGTCTCCAAAATTGTGGAAATCGTTAATGATTCTTCGCAATAATAATATTGTATTTCAATGATTGGCTGTATTTAAATATTATCAATGTCTAATAGTGCTTTTGCAAAAGCGATGACATTACTAGTGATATTAGCAACAGCAATGTTATGAATGTCTTAAACATTTTGATTTTTGTTGAATTTAGTCTTGATGACGTAATTCGAGTTCTTATAATTTACTCCAAACATAACTGCAAGAATTCAAGATTCAATCATCAATCATCAATAGAATCATAATAATAAGAAACAAATTAAAAACATTTAGAAACTGTAGCTTGATTTAACAATGACTTCTAACGCCTCAAGTGTATATCGTGACCATAAATAAATATTTAGGACACATTTTTACACAACGGTTTCTAGTCCCAAACTAAGCTACGTTTGTACTCTGGGTGCTAGATAACTGATAAACAAACTTAAATATACTTTTGTTTCGTAATTAATTACATATTATTCATGATTATATAAATACCCAGACACTAGAAAAACACTATAATCATCAAACAATATTTTTCCTGTAGTGGGGATCCAACCCATACCCTCTGACGCAGGAGGCAGGTACAATATCCACTTCGAATTGTTCAACTAATATTTTCAATTATCTTTTAAAATACAAACCAATACCGTCCATACAATGGTTTCATTAAGCAAAGGTTAGAATATACAAAAACAGGTATTCTTAAAACTCGACTAGGCTGGTCCTTGATACATACAAGACGCAGTAAATCTTCGCGACAGACTGGTTATTCTGTCATATTTATTAAAGTCACTGTTAGTTGTCCATCGTTAATTTTGATTTACGAATCACGCGTCGACGAAATGATGGCGTGATCATAGAGGCCTATTCAGAAACATTGAAATCAGAAATATCCTTACTAGTATTATAATGGCGAAAGTTTGTATGTATGGACGGATGTTTCACACAAAAACTACTGAATAGATTTTAATGAAACTTTATAATAATATAGCTTATACATCAGAATAACACATAGGCTATAATATACAGCATGTCGTTACCATCGCGACAATAAATGAACACAGATATAGAGGATAACTTTTTAAAGTTGTATTAAACATTTAAATTCTTTAAACATCAATATTTACAGAGTTATTAAATTTTTCTAAAACAAAGAATTTTAGAACACCCTTACCTATAAAAGCGTAACGTAAAGTTCATTTGTAAAGTTCACAAAGCATATGAATGGGTTGAATGAATTTAAAAGAGACAAAACATACTGTTAGAAGGAGAGTCTTGTAATGCGATGCTGTGGCGCGAGTTGTATAGGTGTTACAAATTTTGTTTCTTTTTTACTTAATTAGTTTATTTGAAAAATATTCTTTTTTAATTATTGATTTTGTTTAACGTTAATATTTTTTTATGATTATTGGCAAGTAGCGTTAGACGTGTGTTCATTTATTGTCGCGATGGTAACGACACGCTGTATAAAGATATTGTGTGAATTCCCCTGGTGGTAGGGTCACGCAGCTGCCTTCTCCGTGTAAGTACTACGACCTCACAGAAGACCGGCGTAAAGTGGAAGTATAATATTTTCGTGTTTCGCCTGGTGAGTGAGGTGGCCGGAGTGCAATTTCCAAAAGGTTGTCAACGCATCTGCAACCCTCGGGTGTGGCAGATGTCCATGGGCGGCGGTATTCACTTAACATCAGGTGAACCGTCTGCTCGCTTGGCAACTTTTCACATAAAAAAAAAGAATTGTCTAAAATATAGGTAATGATAAGTGTCAACTAAGTAGTGTACAATAAAAAGGGTAATTGTTATTGCCTTTGGCCGCGCGGGTGAAGCCGCGGATAACAGCTAGTACGAAATAAGGTTTGTTTTATGGAAAATGGGATACGCGGACAGGACGCTCACCTGATGAAAAGTGATCTCTCTCTTCTTGCTCGGTCCCTCAATACTGAGGATCGTGACCACATGATGTTCTCCTCCACCGCGTGCGGTCGTAGGCGGCGTGAACCGCGGGTTGCATGCTGCCGCCCACCGCGTTCTTCACTACGTCAGCCCATCTTGTCGGTGCCCTGCCTAGAGCACGTCTGCCGTCCATCTGGCCAGTAACTATCTGCTTTTCGAGACTGTGCCTTGGAGATCGCATAATATCTCGAAAAAGCAGAGGGTCCGTTCACGGCAAATTGAAGAAAGCCACTTCGTGAGAGATAAAGATAATAATTGGAATGCATCGATTTTATTTCACTTTCTACTTGTAAGTTGTGTCTATAAATTTAGGGAAACAAAGTGCGCCCAGATAAGAAATTACTGTTTGCTGTACTGTGGCAGTGTACCTGTAAAAGCGTATAAAGGCAGTTGAAAATGCAGCCATTTCAACTACTGAGCTATCGACTACCATACATAGCGAATAAAAAATAATAATATTGAAGAATAGTATTCAGTGAAACAATGTGTCATATTCTGTCTTGTTATTCAGTTACAAATAAACTATTTTATATAAACGCGATTGATTTGTTTTGAACATAATGACGAAACCATGTTTTCCAGAATTTTTCTACCTAAGAAATGCGAAATTTAGATTTAAAACTGCTATCGATATGACCGCTTTCAAAGTCAGACGGCGCGGCCATTAGGCCAAAAGGGTTTTTAAAATCAATTATGCCGAACAAGCTGCAATGATGTTGACGTGATCATTGGCGGTTTTATGTGAGAATTATTGTAATCAATTCAAGACGGCAAGTGTCCGGGCGCACGCCTTTCGTTTGTTTAATAACCGAGAAAACCAAGTCTCAGTAATGACTAAACGACAAGTGTGATTGGAATGTAAGCTGACTCTCTATTGGTGATACCATGTTTGAGAAGAAAAATAGAAGAATTAAAAAGTTTCATTCAGTGTTCTTTCTGTGGAGACAAAATGGAAAGAAGAAAAGTCGTAGGGCCATGAAAGTACTTCTGCTGTTGCATGAATGGGCAGGCACATTCAGGGAAGTACCACGGCCTCACAAAACATTGGCGTGCGGTAGTATTTAACTATTCCGTTTCGTTTGGTTAATTACGTAACCGGGGCCTTGAAAGCCATCGGGATCTATGAGCTTCGTCACCTCCTAGCGGAAATGGTGCTCCCCAGCCAGAACGGGGCCTTGGGGGTCATGAGCGATTAAGCGATGCCCTTAATTACCCAGTAAAGCTCCCAAGCAGATCGGTGGCTTAATGTAGCCTCCACCGTGGGGATGCTGGGGCCAGCGAACGCCGACCCTGTATCGGTCTGTAATAGGCAAGCCAAGAGGGGTCGCCTAATGGAGATCCCGTGACCCCTCATCAGAGCAGATGACGACCACCGTGGGGTTAATCGGCCAGAGTCCGATATAACTTGGTTCTTCTCTAACCGGAGAGCCAGGTAACCATAACGGATTTAACCACGTAAAAAAAAGATGTCCATGAGCGCCGGTATTCACTTAATATCAAGTGAACCACCTGCTCGCTTGACAACTTTTCACATGCAAAATGTAAGTACGATCAAAAATATGTCGTATCAGGGCTTACTTGAATATAAACAGCATTAATGACTCAGGGTTGGGGCACTCGATTTTAATTCAATTTACACCAGCAACCAGCAATCTGAGTTCAATCCCGTTCACGCTGTCATTATTTCATTGATGGCGGTGATGATTTACCGGTGGTTATTGGTAATGGTAAATATCGCGAGGAATATTGTTGGTGAGTGCTATCAAAAGCCGCTTTAACTCCAATCTAAATAATATACCGTTCCTTTTATACGGGATTATCTCACTTGTACCATCAAGAAGAGGTTATGCTTACAGATGATGTTAAAATGTACGCAGAGATAAAATAAATTTAGTAAATATTATTGCAAGATCCATGGCAAAAGACTCATCACCCCTGAGTCTAAATGACAAGCTCATTGTGTCCCAGTACATTGCCTTAAATGATTGCACTATTATTACACGAGACGTATATTTAATATTAATGATATGCGAAATATACCTTGCTTTCTTGAGTTATTACGAGATGAAGCGTTTTAGGATGAAGTGTTTTTGATTTCGATTAGGCAAGCTTAGTGCTAATTGCGGGTTCGTAGTGGACCGCACAGACGCGTGAGGTTGAAAGTTTCGTCAGTTTGGGCGGAGGGCGAGATTTCTGTCGCATCGCTGAAGATGGCGGCTCGCTTTGATCGTCGTTTTGTGACACGTTGTGTTTGCGGTGGTTTCGTCATCAAGAACTCGCCAGTGCTTGACCACTAGCCGACCTGTTAAGGTATGATGGAGTTACTCATATATAAGATAAATGCCCATGACTAGGGTTTATTTAGGCCTAAGGCGTCATTGTTGGTTTTGGTAGTTGACTTTGACAAGCTTGTTCGAGGACGAAGCATACTTATCGAAAATGGAACAGCTTATGTCGGATCCTTTCCTGTTGGATAGGTGCTGTTCTACAGCGCCAACTATTAGAAACAGAGACACTAATTCATATGGTCCGTTGCTAAATGTGACCTCAGATCGGGAAGAAAAGAAACGAAAAACGTAACAATAATTAGATAAACTCAAAGTTGGCATAGATTCCATAATTATTTATCACGAATTACGTAAATCTTAAAGGATTTTTGACCGAAGTTCCTTATCGCGCGTCGTGAAAGGGGGTTAGACGGAAAAAAATCTCAAGATATATTCATATATATATGTACTCTGTCTGTCTATTCTTTCATACACGTCATAGATGCGCGGGACTTTGTAAACACAATAATCGAAAGGAACTTCGTTCCATCCGGGTGTCCCTTGACACCTCTCATGTGTTTTTTTCTACACAACGGCAGTGTGTTATCAGTTTAAACGCGTAGTGCCAAAGAACTTTACTTTAAAAAAATACTACTTAAAACACACGGTACGAGAAGATGAAATCATGCTTGAATTTATTATGAGTTTAATAAATACTTTAGCGTTTCTGGGGTGTTATTCACTTTTATTACCACTTAATACATGCGACGTAAACAGAATCATCTGCCCATTCGCAAAAAAGACACACACGAGCATTTTTTCTCATTCCTTTTCATTTTACAGCCGTTAAGCGGCCATGACCGGAATCGCTAACGGTATTCGACGTATCGAAACACGCCGAATGCAGTTTCACTTTCACCGGTTCGGTTCCGTATGGTAAATAAATTTTACGTGTTTAAGCAGAGCCGACATGTTATTGATGAAGTTTTTTTTTTTTTAATTAAAAGTAATCAAACGAGCTTCTATAAGCGACCTATCGAAGAAAATATCAGAACTAGCATTTTATTGCAACCAAATTATTGCTTTATTACCATCCTATATTGATTATTGCAACCAAATTATTGCTTTATTACCATCCTATATTGATTATTGTTCTCACGCGAATATTGAACATATTAAATAGAATTATTTTACGGATTTTATCGTGTTTTAATTTTGATTTTTCATTCCCGACGTTTGGAACCCTTTCCAGCGGTCAGACGTTAAACAACTCTGTCTGTCCCGTGTAGTTAACAAAATACTTCGTTTTAATGTTATTACCATCCTACCTAGTTAAGTGCCGATATAGCCGTTGATAACGCATAAGACTCTTATAATTTTTTAAAGGTGTAAATTGTAAACGGAGGACTGTCTCATCTGATATCAACAAGTTCCGAGTTAGTTGTGAAAAACACGATTGGCGTAGCGGATAGTATACCCGTCTCTTGTGCCAGAGGGTGTGGGTTCTGTCTCCAATACTTTAAAAATATTGTGTGAAAAACATAATTTTTGGGTGTTTATTTATTATCCACAATATCAAGTTCTTATTTTTGAAAGAAAAACGTGTTTTAAAATTTTGAAAATGTTTCTCAGTTAACTAGTACCAAGCTTTTATTAGTTTTGAACTATATAATGTTGCGTAAAAATATGTCCAGAAATTTTACAAAAGTTAAAGTTCATTAAATTTTTTTTAAGTTCATTAAATTAAGTTTGGGCTATCACTGTAAGGAACCCTGTAGGTTGAACGATCTTTTTGCTTATGACGTAACAAACATTATGCACTCCGTCGTCTATTTACCTTAAAGGTAATTCATAGAAGAATTTACAATTTTTCCTCTTGTAATATGTCTATTATCTTATTATAGGTGTTCGTCGATAAGGGAACGAAATTAAACATAGTTTGCGTGCTTTGTTGAAATTATAATAATTTTAGGGTTTTTGACGATGTATTAAAAATTAAAATATGTATTAAAAAAGTAAAAATGGACGACTCGACTGACATGAATGAATGACAGGACAAAGTCAATGGTACAAGGAATAGAAAGTTATTGATGAAAGGTTCGATTTATAAATTTGTGCAACAGATTACCTTAAGATGTGAAGACATAAACGGCTCGAACAATAGGAATGCATATCAGTCAGACAATTTCGGTGCTATACAAAATAAATCAGGGAGTGCAAAGGGTTTTCATTTGTTTTAAATGTATGTTTTTATGAGTTATTTCCTATTTTAGTATGATGAAGTAAGTATACTTACTTGAACCTATCGGGGCAGTGCGGGTTGTATGGGTCAGGTCGGTAGATTATCTACTTTCAAAGCTTCCACTCTTGCTTAAGCCAGCGCCGTCAAGGAAGATTCATGCGCAGAAATTATACTTCAATAGCTATTATGAACAAATTTACATATAGTTCGTAAAACAGTCTAAAAATCACTGAATTCGTAGGCTTTGGATATTTGACGGAATTTTTATGCTAAAAATCACACATTGTACCGAGTTTCATTATAATATTTACAAGGGTAATCGGGAGGACTCACAGCTTTTGTAATTTCCAATGTAATTTGTAACTTCAATAAAATACCTCGGTTCACAGTCATAGAAAGGTCAGTTTCCATTGCAAGTCTAATTGAAGTTAGTTCAGCGATTCGTCAAAAGGCAGAACGCAACGGTACCAATTCAAGATGATTTATTTCCCAGCAAATATCGTTTTAATATCAGAAGAGATCGTTCTATTTTCTGACTCTTCTATGAAAGACAAACGGGCTTTTGCTCTGAAAAACGTTAAACAACTTCTCTTTATATAAAGTTATGTAATATCTTTAATATAAATTGCGGAGAAACCTTTGCGTGGTACATCATTAGGGAAACTTTACATTTGTTTTCCTTCATCAGGTTGACAACGAATCCGCAACCAGTCCAGATGTCCATGGGCGATAGTAGTCACTTAATATCAGGTGAACCACTTGCTGGCTTACCAACTTTTTACTTTAAAAAAAAACTGATTTTCCAAGTGCCAAAATCAATGACCATTTGATTTAGTAATAGATGAAAAAATGGTGACCTTTTTGTATCCACCTCTTTAGTGATTGAATATGTCAGTTTGTATCGTAAATATTACGTTCGCCTTAAGACATACTTCCTTTTCTCCGCATTTTATATAAATTGCACAGAAACGCAAGTACAGATTCTATTAGTATAGTTGATGCTATAAAAATGTACTACTGAATCATTAATTACTACTGAGCTAGTAATATGTGTATATGATATCTCTTTTCCTAAAACTGTGAAATAAAGTTTGCCGAGTTTTTTTTAGTTATTGATCGACTTTAACATACCTAATGTCAAACTGAATTAAACCTGTGTAAAAAAAAAATTAATAAGCAGACGAATTTTGTTAGAAGAGAGGTTTGTAATTAGTACATTAAAACCACATTGTTCTTGTTTTTCGTTTATTTTCCACGCAAAGTTGAAATAGAATCAAAAATAAAATGTTTATTTTATTGAATATTTACAACATTAGGGCCGTGATAGCTCAGTGTCCGGGCGCTCGCCTTTAATTCAATATACTCGAGCAACCTGAGTTCGATCCCCGGTGCCGGCACCAATGAAGTTTTTAACTTTAAGTGCTGAATTATCACGTGCTCCGCGGTGAAGGAAAACATCGTGAGGAAACCTGCATATTTTCGAAATAATAACAAAAAAATATATATTTCGAAGGTATGTGAAGTCCGCCAATCCGCAGTGGGGCCGCGTGGTGGACTATGCCCTGATACCCTCTGTATAGAGGAGGCCTTTGCCCAGCAGTGGGACATGTATAGGCTGTTACTTTACTTTTTTTTTTTTACAACATTAAATCTAACTAAATTATTTCTAATTATGTAATTATCTAATAAACCTACTCCACGCGGCACAGTGCCAATAACACTACAAGCACAAAGTTTTAGCATACCTATTCATGGAGGAAATCTCCCTGAATAGGTATGCTAAATCTTTGAGTGAGAAAAGAACCAGCCCTCGTGTTATCAGCCGCGCCGATAAGTCTACGAATATATAAATATTTATGTAATTATATTCACAGCTTACTCCTCTATCTGAGATATGTACAAACACTTACGCCTGCTACCACACACCATAGAGGTAGAGAGATATTCTTGATTTCCATTTTCTATGTTCCCTATATCGTTAAAGTCATAATTTATATATGGCAACTTAGAAACGACATTTGTTTCTAATAAAAGACATCAGTTACATGAATTTACAAATAACCTCTGTAATAATTCATCAAAATGCTTTAAAGGAAAAATTTAACCAACTTCTCTAAATGTATTGTATCTATCTAAATATTTCAAGTCAAAAATACGACTATGAATTTTTACGAATGTGAAAATGGAGAAACCATTTTTCCTTTTATTCGGAATAAACTTACCGTCGGTTTACATTAATGTTTTGAGTTGACCGATTCGAATAAAAAGAATTGTTAGATATTCAGATACGTAGATTTTCGTTCGCACAGTAAACCGCGAAAAGGCCACGGGTGAGCAGTTTGGTGGCTCTAAAGGAATTACACAGCAATAAATTAATTCGAATACTCCAGCGTTGTTGCATAATACGTGAAGGCTGAGCGAGTCGAGAGGTCGACATATGGTAACGAGAAACACAAGGCACGAAATCCGGCGACACCCGCTGCAACACTTGAAGTCTGGACGTGTCCAGTTTCCAAGTGTTGCAGCCACGAGGCGTTCAGCCAACGGATGTATTTTGCATTTCATTATTTCCTCACTAGATGGAGTGGCCTGTGCAAATGTGCGGGAAGTCGATGGGTGCAGATGGCTAAGGGTGGTGCTTCGTGGCAGACTGTGGGGGTGCCTATGTACCTCAGCGGACTCTAACAAGCTGAAATGATGATGATGATTGAGTAAATCATCCAGTAGTGCTAATTTTGCACATCCCAATGGCTTGCGTATCCAGTATACGTCATCTGACCCATGAAAAGGCATGTTTGATACTTCTAATGTTATACCATGCTGACAGCACTGGAAATTGTTAAATGTAAAAGTCGTTGCATATCACTACGGAACAAAAATCGTAGTGCAGAGTGCAAAGTTACATAAAAAACGTGTCCTGTTTAGACGGTATGCATTTCCTGAATGAGTTTGCCATTGCATTTAGGAGGATTATTTAATCGAAGGAATCCCTAGAGAGATGATCGCATGGATCCGTCCAGCATAGGAGTGGGACAGTTTGCCAATGTAATTTTTTCTGTTAGTGTCTTCAAGGCATGCTTTTACTGAGCTAGTGTGTTTACCACCTAAGATTACATCTTAATTACCATCAAGTGAGATATGTATGTTAAGTACTGGCCGGCTTTTGGGTAAAGAAGGGGTCCTAATGCTATTTCCTTCAGGTTTGCTTCAATAATAACTTAAAGTACCTAAATCACCAATGCAATATATAAAGCAATAACCCTTGGGGATACTTGAAGGTGTTTTTTTGATATTAGTGAAAACGTTTAAAATTATTCTACAGGACTTCCAATGTAACATGAAACATCAAACCTCTGTTATTGATTTTTTTGGAACTAGAAAAAGATTTTCTATTCTATCTTTTTGAGCTTATTACTTACTTATTACACATCTTTATTCTTAGCCGCAATTTTCAATTACATTTTATGCCTTTGCAGATTTAATGTAAACGAAGTATATTTCCCATTGAGAATCGTGAAATTTGGTACAATATGTTTTCGTAATTTTGTTTTCATTTATACTCTGTGTACAATAAATAATAAAGAAAATCCAAATATATAAGAAATATAACAGATAATATAAAAAATATAGAATAAGTTTCTACGGAACCCTCAGACAGCGGGGTTTTCATGAATTGACCCCGATGATGAGGTAATTGAACGATTTTTTCGTCTGAAAATTGAAATACAAACAAATAGACGAATAAACATATAATGCTTTCTGCTAATGTGCACATTAAGTGACGCGGACATTAAATTTAGAATTTATGTATGAAGCGATAATTTATTCACTGTTATTGAACTTGTTTGGAAATCTTCTAAAACACAAATATTTAATGAAGTCGATTTTAAAATGTTACCAGCATATCTACGTGCCATGGAAACGAATATGCACCTTATGTGTGCAAGTATAAAGAATAATATCTTATATGAATGTATCTATGTGTCATTCACGAAGGATGCTAACGATATTGTTGAATTTCGATATTGGTGTGGGATGATTTAACGGCTTTTTGAAGAACTAGAGTACCTTGATTTTTACGAAATATGACATTCTATTGTTATTTGATACACCACAGAACCGATGAGAATTATTTAATAGCATAATTTCATAATAATGATAATTCATAATTTTATGGCGTGCGCCAATTTATAACCCTTGAGATGGGCGTTCATATTGCAAAAAGTTAATTCAACCTAAGATTTTTTTTTAAACTTCTTAGCAGCTGATTTATTACTATTAAAAAAGCTATACAGTGTTTGTTTTAGAGTATTTAGTAATTAGATAATTGTAGTAAATTTAGTTACAATAGTTAGTAATATAGTTATTTCCCTGCGGCCATGTGATGTAGTGTTGCGTCGGCTATGAAATAATTTCGATAGAAAATTTGATGATACAGCGTAAAATGAAATAATTTATTTGCGTATCGTTCGCAAAATGCGATCATGTCTTCTTGAAAGTTGGTATCTCTTTTGGTGTCGCAGATGCTTATGGACGGTGTTGCCTGCTCCTTTGTAGCCTTCTTTTATATAAAAACGTTGTGCAAGTCCTTGTTTGGGCTACTTCGCCTGAATACCATTGTCTTCTAACATCAGACCATTTTTTTTTGGATAATCAAATATAAACAAAAAAAAAACATTCCCAAGGGGGGTTGACACCAAGCAGGCGGCTAGTCGTAAAAAAAACCTAGCCAAAATCACTTAAATGATTTATATTTGTGCAGACCTCACTTTGGTTAAAAGTTCACGAGATAAAGCTAGAATTTTCCTACAAGATATACGATATGAACTGTAAATGTAGGTGCGTTGTCACGGGAAATGGAAAGGCAAAGGTGACAACACATACTGTTTGATGTTTATTTTTAGCCACAATAATTCATTAATATTAATACATATTGGCGGTCAATAGTCATAAACTATGGAACCGGACACGGCGCGAGGAGCCTCTTCGAGACCGACCGGGCAACATTCAGGCATGAGTCTAGGTTCAAATGTCACAGTTCAGCTAAGACTCGCGCTTGCACGCGCGGCCACTATAAATACCGGGCGCGACTAGGCCAGAGCATCAGTCGCTCGATTGCCTTCCCATCACCGACAACGCAAAACCAACCAAACCCTTCAAAATGAAACTGGTACGTTCTTGTGATACCGACCCACGGGATTGTGCAACCGCCGACCCGGTGTCGGTGGTACGGCCGCATCACTTCGCGGTTGCATCGCCGATTGCGCAACTGGCTTAGTGTCCATTTGATATTCGCGACAAAACATTTCAATCAATTGTGGTGCTTAACTTTTCGTCCGCAGTTCATCGTCGCCGCTCTGTTCGTCGCCGCCGCCGTCGCCGCGCCCGCCACCCCCGACGGTGATGCCCAGATCGTCCGTTACGACAACAACAACATCGGCGTTGAAGGCTACGCCTACGCGTAAGTGTCCCCGATCGTCCGTTTACACTCGTTCGACACGTGTCTTTCCATTTATCTGTACTGTTCAATCGTAATCGCTAATGTAACGCGCCCTTTACAGCGCTGAGACCTCGAACGGCATCAAGACCCAAGAGGAGGGAGCTCTGAAGAACATCGGCACCGAAAACGAGGCCCTCGAAGTCCGCGGACAGTTCTCTTACATCGGCGACGACGGCATCAACTACGTCATCACCTACATCGCCAACGAGGGTGGATTCCAGCCCGAAGGCGCTCACATTCCCAAGAGCAAATAAGCCAACGCAATCCAACAAACCATCTAGTCCAAAAAAATACTCACCTCTCCCTACCTTCCCTTATCCCTTTGATAGAGAAATCGTCTAAAGCGGTTCTGTGATACTTCATATTCCGAAAGAATATTGTTAATAAACATGTGTGTTATTATAATTTAACTTTCGCATTTTATTCTTTTGCCACCACTCAGCGAAACATTTGAATATTATACTAAATTTTGAAATCAACCTTGCTGAATGTCTATAATTCAGCAATCTTGGCTTATTACAATATTATAGGACAGAAATGTCACATCGAAATATTTAAAACTAAACAATCTGCAACGCAATTTACAGTTGTCATTAAGTTAACATATTAATTAGAATTGATATTTGAAGGACATTTATTTTAACTGTAGCAAATTGTTATGATGATGTTTCATTGATTCCATGTAGAGATAAATCATCCCATACACTTTTAATTAACACATGTTTCTTAATATATAATTTGTATGCTTGTTATCGATTTTTAAACACGTCCACCGAATCAGTCAAAGTTGAATGTAAACCGGTAGACAAGGCCGATTCATGATAATTCAAAAACAACTTAACATCAAAAGATATTTACCCATCCGCGGCTTCTAAAGATCGCCTCATTAGAATTTCAATTCGTAAGCCTTGGGAACTTAAATTTCCTAATTTGCAAGCACACAGGCGATCGAGAACAACTTGGTTCTATTGCGTCGTGAATAGTTAACAAACTTTAAATATTTATTCCATTCAACAAAGTTTTTTTCAACACGCAAGTAAAGTAATATCCTTATTTAATATACGTACTACAGCTCCTCGAAGTCAAACTTCTAGAGTTTTAGGGCCTACTCGTAGTCTGCACTTTGACTTTGCTACATATTGGCTAACGTGATATGTTTTCGTTTATTTACTAGATCATTTATTTCCCATGATGCCATACATATTAAAAATTGCGGTTGACATTTTATTGCTGCCTGAAGCGGTTTTTGTACTCAGGTTTCTTAAATATACCGAATTAGACCGGACACTGAGCGATCATGTAGAAATTTAATCTATTTATTGGAAGCTTTACGAAGTTTTCACTAATTGTATTCAACACATCTTACGAAATAGAGAACCGTGATTTAAAGAGTGTAGTTGTGATATACGGAATATTGGATAAGTTATCCAATCAAGTGCATTGAAAACTTTAAATGACCTGGAACAAAGCGGAGAACCGGCGTGATGTGGAAGTATTATAATTCTGTGTTTCGTCTGGTGAGTGAGGTAGCTGGGGCCCACTTTTATAAAGGACGGCGACCATCTGCTCCCCATCGGTATTATAGAGTAAACTATATTAATAGTTTAACATTTTTGAAGTAGATCTTGACAGTTAATGCCACCGTCATAAAACACCAAAGAAGACAAGTCCATTTTTTATTAAGGAAAAACAAAGCTGACTTCAAATATTTCGTTCTGTATATTTTTTAATTGATTTTTAGGAGTTCTCCGGAGTACCTCCGGAGCGCAAGATCCAATACCAATGAAATTAATATGGGACCACATGGGATTCACCAGCTTTACTCAACTCATTCGAAAGTTCTGAAGTAACAAACACAAACATTAAAAAATACATTTTGAATTGAGAACCAACTCGTTTTAGAAGTCGGTTGCGAAAATTAGCGGCATATCGCATAGCTTTAGGTGAAAAATTATCGTTATAATGTAACGTTGCAAGTAATATCACGAATATGTTCACACAAGTCGATGTTATTCACGACACGTTGTAAACGTTTTGCGTGTTTCGATTAACGATGAACCATTTTGGTGGATAATTATTCAAAGTTTTAAGTATTTCACAGTTTCACAGTTATAAGCTCGCGATGAGAACAAAACACGCGCTTGGTGCATTGGTTATTTATTGTTATTAATCATTCTTAATACTGATTTTTACTCGTATATTTGCGCAAACCATACACATTGTTCAATGGAACGTTTTTTTATGTGAGAGTGTGGCAAGTGAGCAAGGCAAGTTCGCCTGGTGTTAAGTGCTAATCGCCACCCATGGGATATTTGCAACACCCGTAGGGTAGCATATGCGTTGCCATCTTGTAATAAAGTGTGCCCCGGTTACCTCACTCAACGGACGAAACGCAGAAGTGTAACACTTCTTTTTTTTTGTGAAAAGTTGCCAAACGAACAGCCGGTTCACCGCCGGTGATGGTAAGTGCCACCCATAGACATCTGCTACACCCCAGGGTTTGCAGATGCGTTGACAACCTTTTTGGATATTGGGCTCCGGCTACCTCACTCACCTTACGAAATGCGAAAGTATTTGTCATACTTCCCCTTTCAGCCGGTCTTCCGGTCATGGTACTTGCCCGGACGGGCCTGCCCATTCGTGCAACAGCCGAGGCTGCTGCGTGGCCCTACCACCGTAAAGTGGTGGAGCCACGCAGTAACCGCTTCTACTTCACGCCGGTCTTCTGTGAGGTCGGTACTTTACCGGACGACAGTTGCGTGGCCGTAGCGCAGCGGGTTAAGCAGTAAATATAATTGAACTTTACTAACCAAAGTGTAAGCATTCATGGACAAGACGGTCATAGAAACAATAAAAGTTGTTCAATTTCACAATACTTTTTTCTGTAACAATTTCAATAGATGTATACGGAAACAGAGACATGCAAGTACAAAGACAAAATCGATAATAAATATTAGAGAAAAACTCATATTCGACGTGATATCATGATAAAAGATTTTATTCCTAGCCTTAGTCCAGTTTAAATTTAATTATTTCTATCGGAATCGACATTTACAGTGAACTCGTAAATAATTACGTGACATTATTAATCATGTGATAATAATTTATCGTATCGAGTCTAATACTTTTATTAAGGAATTTAAAGTTTTTTTATTACTTTGATCAATAACAGACATTTATTTAAATATTTAAGCACAATTCACTGCTGTTTATTATTTTGATCATTTGGCCTATTCAAAGTTTCCTGGGATGAGTAAAAATTGTTGATTGAAGTAAATGAAATATGTACATTCACAATAAATGAATAAAAACTACACGTGATGCATAAATGGATAGGGAACAAGCCGTAAGTATTAACATTTTTGTATAAAAAGTACGAAAAGATTGTCGCCGCTGTGGGAATCGAACACACGTCTTCCGCATTCGCGGCCTGGCGATTTAGCCACTAAGCTAACGGCTGATTGCCACACCGACGAAAATCTTAACGTCTTTTATCTACACTGTTTTTAAGCATTTGAAGCAAGCTTTAAATATTCTTATATTATTAGTGGTCCTGTAAATTAAAGAATCTTCGTAATCACATAGAAAAAAAAATACCCAAAGTCACAAACTTCGTTTACGTTGACTTATATGACGGGCCGCTTTATAACAAAGGAAAAAATGTTTCAGACAGACTTTGCACGAGCAAAAGGATATAAAGACTAAAATTTGCAGGTAAATGGACGAAAAGTTTGCGGTAAATTTTGCGACTGCAAGGATTTGAACCTATGCCCTCGCCATTTATTCCCGACGCTCTAGCCACTGAGCTAAACGGCTTATCTCCGCACAAATCTCAACTTACATTATCTACTTTGTGTTTTATGCATTTTAAGCAAATATGGCACAAAGCATTGCTAAACAGACTCCTTTACGATAGTACATTACACGATCAAAAAAGGCAAAATTGGGTCAAGGCGCGCGGCGATGCTGCCCTTTGGTTCTATTTTTAAAAATCATCAGCGACGCGTACTAAAATTGGAGGCAAACGATTATGAAATTGCGAATCATCTGTCATACAGATGTAGAGAGAGCGATTTCGATCGCTAACCGGTCTTTAACATTTGACAAAACCGACCCCGTGGCCTTCACCTTGTTGTGTAATTGTGCGCTCGTCGTGTCGTTAGCTAAACACCGGTTAGCTTTACATTTGTGTCTTCATCTTTTTAGGGTTCCGTACCCAAAGGGTTAAAAGGACCCTATTACTAAAACTAGGCGTTCCGTCTGTCTGTCTCTCCGTCCGTCTGTCACCAGGCTGTATCACACGAACCGCGATAGTTAGACAGTTGAAATTCACAGATGATGTATTTCTGTTGCCGCTAGAACAACAAATACTAAAAAACAATAAAAAACATTAAAGTGGGACTCCCATACAACAGACATTTTGTCGTTTTAATAGGCAACTAGCGACCCGCCCCGGCTTCACACGGGTGCCATGTTTTATAAATATTAACCTTCCTCTTCAATCACTATATCTAGTAATAAAAACCGCATCAAGATCCGTTGCATAGTTTTAAAGATCTTAGCATACATAGGGACAGACAGACAACGGGACGACTTTGTTTTATATTATGTAGTGATTGTACGGAACTTTTCGTGCGCTAGTCAGACTCGCACTTGGCCGGTTTTTTCCTTTCACCTATGTGAGATCGGTGAAATAAAAAAGTATTACATGGTAAGTAAAGGTGTATTGCTCATCGTTATAACAATTTCAGCCTGTTTGAGTCCACTGCTGAACATAGGCCTCCCCCATAGCTCCCCATAGCCTCCCACGAAGCAGATCCTGAGCCACATATATCGAATTCCCGCACACTTATATAGGTAGTCATAGGTCACTTGCAGTTTGAAGTCCTTGACGATTATGTTTACTAAGGACAGTTAGTTCGCTTAGGTACGTCCAACTTCGACGCAGAGGGCAATCGGCGAATGCAACTCGGATGGGCAGCGCTTGTGAACCTTCGGCATATCTTCTCGTCGAATATACCTCAATTCTCGAAGACAAAAGTCTTCATTCAATGGATGTCAATTGGATGGTAAACGGACTACTTTGTCAGTAACAGCCTGTTCACTCATACCTTGAAGATACTAATGATATTTCCGCTTTTAGCCTTTTGTAAAAAGTAGTTTTGTAGAACCATCACATAATCAGTTTGCGAATTTATCGACACTGTTAAACATTCACAAAATTATAAAAAGGGCGTGTGTGTGTGCGCGT